GAGGGACAGCAAGATTGCATGGGACCAACATGGTGAATGTGGACATATTCAGGAAGACTAAACCCAGTGTCAGCAGCTCAGTGAAACTGCCAGTGTCCACAGAGGACACTGGACATGTAGCTGGTGTGTCAGGAAGAAACCCAGAAGAGTGGAGCTGAAGCCACACGTGGTAACTGTCACTGTCTGACTGGATGGGTATAAATGAGTACATTAGCTTTTCATTTTTTATGAAGAATTTAAACATAAAGAATTAAAAGCACTTTATATAAAATTGACAACATATATCAAATGTTGCTAGGAATCTGTACCTGAAAATCTGTATATGCTACATAAGCTGATAAATTAATTCATGCCAAGCTACATTTAAAAGTTATACAATCCATAAATCTTTATTTCACCCTGTGTCCTAATATCATTAAGGAAAATGGAGCATGTCCCAGGAAAGCCCGAGTGAGAACACTTCAGCTCAAGCTGATTCATCGACACAGACAGAACCCAGACGTCACAGCCCCCAACACAGACCACAGACAGAGCCGCAGGCAAGGCAGCCGCGATGCTTATCTTGACTCACACAGGTGAAGCTACAACACAGTCCAAGTCACACATTACGAAGATCTGAGTAAAAATAGCTCTGTGTACAGTCTTCGATTTTTTTTTAAGGAAAGGAAATTTGATGTGTAGAGAATAAATTGATATTCTCATCTAAAATCAAAGAGAGGAGAAGAGGGAATAAAATGAGCTTCTTGGCTTACATTTTAATGCCCAGATGGGTCTGGGTTGTAGGCATGGAAAGACATGCAAGGTCCCCCAGTGGAGCCACCAGTTTAGCCACACACGACTTGAATTCCACAAATCGCCCTTCACTCACTGCAGAGTCTTCTCTGAGTAGTTATGAAAGACAGTGACACTTTACTTCTGCTTTCCTTATGGCTGTGATCTCTTGAGTTGTAACCCTCTGTTTGTATTACGACCCACTAAGGCCCCAGATCCAGCCTCTCAGGAATCCTTTGGATATAAGACTAACATCCGCAAAAGTGAGGACAGGAGAAGAGGTGATGGGAAGAGCTGAAGTAATCTTCCTTCCACGTTCAAGTTCAGCTTTGGCCTCTGCTTGAACCTGGGCCTCCACCTGGTCCCCCATTCAAAACCATTTACTGAGGAAAGTACAACTCCTTTCCAAACACTCTTCTGTGCTCTTGGACACAGGAAATGAGTAAGACAGAAAAGTTCTTATTATCCCAAAATTTATGTTCCAGTGGGGAAGGGAAAATGCACTTTAAAATAAACTAAGTAGACATGAATTATTCTAAGAATAAGAATATTAAGTTGCTTTCAAAACTCAAAGGAAGATGAGGTGGCCGGACTGGATGAATAGCAAAGAGACAGTAGAGGGTGGGCAGCTTCATGTCCATGCTGATGTCCACTCAGGAATGGTGAGTTGAGCAAGTGCTAGAATGTTGGTGGGAAGTTTGAAGGTCATGGGAGTGCAGGTCCATTCAGTGACCTCCCTGTGGTGCAGTCTGCTGTGGTTTCTGTTGCTGCTCATTCCAGGGGCTTGGGTTCCTGATGATCCTCCATGTCAGGACCACAGAGCTCCCACAGATGCTGCAGTTACTGTCATCCATCATTATTGGCCCCTCCCTCCATCCTGTCACCTCCCAAGGCACTGGCCAAAGTCTTCGATAGATGGAAGTGTGCCTCTTTGCACTGTAGCCACTTTGGGAAAATCCACTCCTTGCTGGAACATCAGCTCCAGTTGGATTTTCCATGAATTATTCCACCTCAATTCTTATGTGTAAAGCATAAACCAAACTGTAAAGAGCATACTGGGTGTCTGATGGAGAACAGGCATGCAGGCAGGTGAGCTGTAAACACATAGGAGAGTGTGTGCAACAGTACTAGAGTTTTGGAAACCTGCATACAGAAGACCTGGGCGTCAGGAACGCCCATTAGGCTGAAAGGCTGGCACAGCATTAGCAGCAGCTGGTGAAGGCTGAGTGCATCCTTGCACAGAGCATGGCAAAGAGTGGCTCAGGTGAGGAAGCAGCTCACTACGCCATTTTGCTGGGGCAACCGGAGGGTGAGACCAGGAATAGGTAACTTCTGTGTTCTAGGCTGCCTGTGAGGCAGAAGCAGATAATACTCCTGATCCAATGCTGAAATGTTAAAAAAAAAAAAAAATCATTGTTTCCAACATTGAATCAAGAATTCATGAGGCTTTTTGCATTTTAATGCAAAGGAATGTGCAACACCGATGCCTGTTGAGAAAAGTCCATTTCAAAATTGAAATTACTGATCCCGAAAGGGTCAGACGAAGCCTCTCATGCGTCTACATGAGCTTTAATTTCAATTCATGAACCTAGACAATATTTTTCCCGTTCGGGGGTTTGATCCTGGGATCTTGTCCTTGCCTTAGCTAGGCAGCACTCCACCACTGAGCCCTGTCGCAGCCCGAGCCTAGACAATCTGCCAGCAGTCCTAGGTTTAAAGACGGCCTCGTTCATCACCATAGAAGCAGAAGTCTTCGACTTTCCAATCTCGTCAGGTATGACTGAAGGTTCTTCAGTTCCCACAGCTAGGAAGCCCTGGGTTACCACTTGCTCAACTGAACCGTACAAAAGAAAATGTAAGGAAAGGCAGCAGCTCTGGGTGTGCATTTCCAAATTCCATTTTCATCTGTAGTGCAAAATGAGGGAAAGAAAGAGCTACAGCAACTGCACAGTAGCACCCAACAAGCCGCGTGTGCCTGCACTCACTGTGAACATAAACGGCTCACAGGATTGACTGACTTACAGCAAACTTTAGATAAGCAACTTGATAAACCATCTCAATTCAAATTCAGTTTCACAAGAAAAACAAGGGTTGAGGGTTTGGGTTCTAATTATTTTTAATCTAGAACCATAAAATATGACAAATATTTTGTATACTCTATATGACAAACTCAGAGTTTACAAAATTTAACTGTTTTTGTTTTTCATTAAGGCACATATTTATGGAGCACATTGTGATGTTCTGACACATGCACACATTGTGTAATGATCCAATCAAGTTATTTAGTATATCCACCACCTCAAACATTTATCATTTCCCTGGGATAGGAACAGTCTAAATCCACCTGGTGGTTACTTTGAAACATGTAATGTAGCACTCCGGCCATCCTCTGGGCCTCAGAACCTGAACTATTCCTGCTGTTCACTTGCAACTTGCGCCCCCTGACCAGGGTTGTCCACCTGCTCTCCGCTCCCCAGCCCCCAGTCCACACTCTTCTGCTCAGTACTTCTGGGAGACCCACGTGTCCAGCCTGCACATAAGTGATATGCTGGGGCACTTGTCTTTCTGCTCCTGGCTCACTTCCTCCAGAGGAAGGAACGTCCTCCAGTCATGTTACTACGGCAAATGACAGGTTTTCACTCTTAGGGTTGAGTGGCATTCTGTGGAGTGCCTGTGCCACAGTGTCTCCATCCACTCATCTGCTGGTGGACACTCTGTGACTCCACACCTGCTGCTGAGGACGTGCAGCAGTAGGAGTGCAGGGGTCTCTTCTGTGCACCGACTTCCTTCCTTTGGCTGTGGGTGCAGGTGGGCTTGCTGGATGCTACGCAGCTCCATCTTTAATCTGTGAGGCACCTGCCTGCTCCTTGCACAGGGCTGTGCTGGCTCACCTGCTCCCCAAGCTCCCCTTGTCCTCACCAGCACTTGCTATGCTGGTCTCTTTGACAACAGATATTCTAGCAGGTCTGAAATGATCTCTCCTCTGGTTTCAATTTGTATCTTGGTTTATAACATTTGACTTCAACATCTTTCTGAGGCAAATGCAATTGATATTACAATTAGATGATAGTAGAATTATAACACAACAGGAAGAGAAAATGGTATCAGCTGTTTTCTCATTAAAATGTCCTTCCAGGTCATGAAGAGCAGAAGTGGTATGTGCACATCATGGTCTCTCCCGTGACTTCTCATTCCCTCTCTGCTGGCTTCATGTGCTTTACTTCCAGAGACAGCCTTAGGCCACTCACAGTGTCCACCTGCACTTTGCAGGTGCCAATTATTGTGTTAGTACTTTGGTAAAAGGTCAAGAATTTTAAATGTTCTGCAGTTACACACTGTTCTTCCCTAAACCCTGTTATTTGCAAGCATTATCTCCAAGAAGTTAAGGTGTTTAATGAATGCATATCTTCTTTAGTGTTTGAAAAGAAGACCCTTCAGTCTATAAAATACGGAAAATGGAAATATATGTCTATGGCATGTACATAGAATTCCAATCTATATATCTCATTTTCACACACACATTAATCTTTATAAACAACACTATAATAGGGGTATATTCATGACTAAAGGTAAAATGCCCAAAGCATATTTGCAAATGATCACAAGTAATATATTTTTGGTATGAGGTTGAACCCTGTAGTGACCTGATAATCAAGATTGCTATTTGTTCTTAAGATTTTGAGGAGTAGATCTGTGTAGAGAAAGGGGTAGTCAATAGCACAGCAGCCTGAGGGTCTCCCAAGGGCTGGGGTCCCAGTGCCCCTGCTGGGCAGAGGCTGAGGGTCAGTGGGAGCCAGAACAATCTATGTGGATGTGGACAAGCACCTTGCCTGGACCCGAGTCAGAGAAAAATCATGTGTGACTGTCTGGGATGCGTCAACTGACCGTAGTGCTCCTGCTGCCACTCAGAATAGGTGCTTTCTAACAGACTGTGGATCAGAACCCTTCCTACGTTAAATGCTCGGAGCCACTGCTGAAGGACAGCAGTCATTCTCCAGTCTTCATTTCTAACCAGCTGTTCTACCTCCAACAGAAAACGTAGTGGGCAAGCAGGTGTGTGTCACATTAAGGCACCCCTCAGCCAGCTGGCTGTGACTCCCCACGGAATGCACACCCACAGAGCACCTAGACAGCCACTGGCTCCCGCTGCCGCCCAGCCCCTGGCCAGCGCAGGCCACCTACCATCGCAGCTGGGCAAGGCATGGTTCCACTGATGGTTCTGCTCGCAGACCAGGGGCTCCTCGTCGCTCAGGGTGTACCCTGGGTCACAGCTGAAGGTCACAGTGGACCGGATGCCAAAGTCCCTGCCATGCCGTCGGCCATTCACAGGGATGCCTGGGTCCAGGCAGGAGTCCGTCTCGAGGGTCACACCTGGAGGCACAGAGACATGTCACCACGGGAGGTTAGCTGAGAAGGTGTGCGAGCTGTGGAAACACAGCATGCTCTCAGACACAGTCAGCAGGAGAAAGCGTGCAGCTAAGTGACCCATTACCAAGCTGATTATCAAGAATCCAACAATCCATTAATGTAAAAACAAGGTTTTTCAAATATGTGACTCTGTTTTTCAAATTAGAGAGATTCATATCGGTATGCTATTTACCAGAAGATATCTAAATAGTACAACCTTGAATAATTCATTAACCTCTGAATTTTACTTTTCTTCAGTGGAAAAATCAATGAACTGCTAAGTGAAGGCCAGTTTTCTCCCTCCACCCTTCGCCTTTACTTTCATGATCTATGTCATGAAGTCTTGGCAGTCATACTGTAACTTTCCTATCTGTGCACACACACAGGGGTGGATACTTAGGATGCATCTAAAACTACACTGGAGTTGATTTTCCAAAAATGCATTCCACAAGTCACACAATTTCAAAATCTGCACTGAAGTCAGCCACTTTTGAGATGGCTCCGATTAGCCCATACTAAAATATGTGCAAAGATGAGAGCTTCACCAGGTAAAGTAAGTAGATCCAGTCTCCAAAGAGTGTCTTTATTCCATTTCACATTTCTTGCCTTCTAGAATAGTACATATTTTAAATCATGATGAAAGTTAGGGGGAAAAAAAAGAATAGCATTACTATGTTCCCAAATGCCAAAAATAGACTTGCTGCTGCTATATATCACCCTTGGTAATGTTTGGAACACAAACCATGATCTGAAATATTCGTAAAAAAATATTAAAATAGTTCCAATGTTCAGATGGTTGAGTCCCCCATGGTCTCTGGGACACTATATTTTACACCTACATTTTAACAGAGTTTGAGGGGTGCGGCTTATGAACAGCCTTCCCTCCTAAGCCTAGTACCTGAATGCTAATTCTGGGTGATTGTTTAAGTAATAAGTGATGAGGGTGATAACTCCTGTTGGTATAGTGAACTGTGGCCCAGGGGGCAGTGGGACACCCAGGAGCTCAGCACTACTCAACTGTGGGGAGGAATCCGCCAGCAGGGAGGCCCAGTCGCTGCTGCTGCTCCCAGGCCACGGGGTGTGCAGGGGGCAGTGTGCTGGTCTTGCTAGGTGGGCTCTGAGCACAGCGTGATTTCCAGGGAGGAGCCACTGGAGACTAAGTCCACCCACAGGGCAGTGACATCAACCACACCATGACACAGGGCCCGGTAAGAGCTCTGGACCCAGAGCTTGGGAATCCCAGGTGGGCAGCAGGCTGTGCTCCATCCTGCTCTGGGTTTGGACCCCCAAGTTTTACCCTGGGTCCTTCCTACTGGCTCCTTCTGCTTTATCTCCTTTTCCTGTCATAAATATGATGATGAGTCTCCTAGACTCGGCGTCCTTTGAGTCCTTTTAGCGAGTGATCAAACCCTAGAGTGGTCAGGACACCTCGGACGGGGGATCCTATCTGGACTGACCGAGTGCAGACCTGGTCCTCTGCAGGCTTTGTGCCTGACCCCCGTGGCCAGCACTGCGGTCAGTGCTCTCGTGGTTGAGTTTTCTCCAGGGGTGGATGTGGTGGTGGGTGGAATCTTATGAAGGGGAAAAGAAGTAGATTTAAAAAAGAAAAGCAGACGCCAAGATGGTGGAGTAGAGAACCCTCAGTGGCGTGTCTCTGAGTGAGTGTCGGTCGTTCTCCCTCACAAGGGCTCTCCCTGAGGAATCTAAGCTTCATGAAGCCTGGGACAGGATTTTAAACAGCGGTCTGTCGCAAGTCCAGCCCAGGACGACGGGAAACTGGAGTCGCACTTTGCGAGGAAGCCGCCCAACAGCCTGGAGCTGGGCCCCGCG